TAGAAAATACAAAAATTTCATATCTATTTCAAACACGTGACAAAAAATCCGGTGATTTATGGTAGGGTAGTGTATTTCTATTTTAAACGCGCTCTTTTTTACCCATGTCACGGACCGCATACGCTGAGCGATTACTGGGTCAACCCCTCTTTGAGAAGCTCCAGACCTGCCGAGTACTCGTGGTTGGTGCCGGCGGCATAGGGTGTGAGCTTTTAAAAAACCTCGTACTGTCAGGATTCCGTCATATAGAACTTGTATGTAACTTTTGTCGGCTAACTATTGTTTATAATGTGTAATCTACATTAAGTAAAGCCTTGCTATCTTGATTCTGTTTAATTCCATTGCTTGTCACATATTCATTGGAAGTGATATAAATGATATATATATTGTCTTGCCTAGGTCGACTTGGATACTATCGATCTCTCTAATCTCAATCGTCAGTTTCTATTTCGCAAACATCATATAAAGAAATCGAAAGCCCACGTGAGAGTCGTTCTAAAACCCACACCTTCCCCCCCTTCATATTTGATGTCATTGATCTGTTCCTGACTCGTTATTTCTTTTTGTAAATAAGGTCGCCCGAGAATCAGCATTAAAATTCAACCCAAATGTTAACATAAAGTCACATCATGCTAACATAAAAGACCCCGAATTCAGCGTCGAATGGTTTAAAAGCTTTGATATTGTCATGAATGCTCTTGACAATCTTGGTATGTCATTGACGCGTTTTGTTGCAGAAAGAATGCACTCCTCTGTTGATATATTTGTTTGACTTGACATATGATTTCTGGTATAAATTCCTGTCACTTTATTACTGTGTCTACTACGTAGAGGCTAGATTTCATGTGAATGAGATGTGCATGGCCGCAAATATACCGTTACTTGAATCTGGGACTGAGGGTTATGTTGGCCAAGTGACCGTTATAAAGAAGGTTAGGCAATGATTAGATGATGGGTTGTTGGTGTAAAGTATGATTAATTGAGACTCCATTTACTAGGATGAATCCGAATGCTACGCGTGTCAAGAGAAGCCAAAGAAAATAACATATCCTGTCTGCACTATACGTAGCACCCCCAGCAAACCTATCCATTGTATAGTGTGGGCAAAGAGCTATCTCTTCAGGTGAATTCTGGAGTTATGATTTTGTGGATGCTTTGGGCCATTAATATGTATATTAAAGTGTCTATTTATTTACAATGTGGATGTATTCTGCATTAGTCAGTTATTTGGTACACCTGACGACGAGGAAGAGGAAATAAAAGAAGACATGGATGCTGATAATGGTATTCTATGCCAACATAATTCCTTGGAAATTTTTCGTATGCTTACAATCTTCAATTAAAGCCCAGGAGATCGAGAATTTGAAGCGAGAGACACAGGAATTGATAAAAATCAGAGAAGCGATAGGATCAGACAATTATCCGTATTTAGTATTTAAGAAGGTGTTCACTGACGACATTAACAGATTGCTTACGTGGGAAGATGTTTGGAAAAAGCGAGCACCCCCCAAGCCATTGGTATATGAGACGCTTGAAAACGGTGTAATAGATAATGGAACTGGGCAATATTCGTCAAACTCTGGAACGCTTGAGGATCAGAGAGTATGGTCTTTAAAAGAAAACTTTAACGTATTTGTCGATAGGTACACCCGTATCGTTACACCCGTGAAGGCACATAAGATATTTTATTAGATTTTCTTGGCGATTGCAGCTTTTTACTCTTACTAATTTGTTGCTGTTTTTGTGTTAGTGTCCGACGACTGAGCAAACGAGCGTTGAAGGAAAAAGCGGAAGATCCAACTGCGTCTCTATCGTTCGATAAAGACGACGATGACGCTCTTGATTTTGTCACGGCTACAGCTAATTTACGTTCTTATATATTTGATATTAAGATGAATTCAAAATTTGATGTCAAAGGTAAGCGCTGTGCATTTTTTGAGTATTTTTCTGTATGAGCTGTTATTCTAAACTTTGTGGGGGTTTACAGCCATGGCAGGAAATATTATCCCAGCCATAGCAACGACAAATGCTATCATTGCGGGGAATGATTGTGATGCAAGCTTTTAAAGTGCTACGTGGAAATTTGTTACAGTGCAAGACGGTCTCTATTAATTATTTTTCAATCTCCTATTTTGTCAAATGCCTACATCATTAACTGTTAATATCTGCACACAGGTCTACCTTGACGGTGCCAGACGCCCTCAGATATTCCCATCAGAGTCTCTACTTAAGCCTAATCCTTCTTGTGCTATATGTCGTAATACTCATGTATCGTTAAAGATCAATACAAAGACAACCACTCTGCGCGCTTTCCTGGAAACCATTGTCCAAAGTCAAGACGATCAAATGGATACAGAAGATGATGTAGTAATAGCTAATGCAAGGAGCAATGAGTATGTGGTTATTGATTGTTTGCTTTTTGAGGTTGTGGACAGTATCATTTACCGTTGTACTTTTTATGGTCGATCAGGATTATATATGATCTAGACTACATGGATAGTCTTGATTCAACTTTTGAACAATTAAGTCTCAGAGACGGTTCAATCCTTTCGGTAACTACCGACAGTGCGACACCCGCTGTCTTTGCAATATCTCACAGGTATAGGGCCTCCCTTTCTCTCTTCACCAAATCTATATTTTATCATTATTGACTTTGACTTTATTTTTAGCGAAATATTTGACTCTCCTGAAACCTGGTATGAGGTAGATAGAAACCCTGCAGACATATTTAGGCGACGCATGTCTGGTTCGATCGAAAATGTATCAACACCATCTCACAAGAGAAAGCACGACAATGATGATGAGTTGGATGAAACATCGTCACATAAACGACTTTATACAGAAACGGACAAAGTACTAGTAATTAAAGATGACGATCTGGAAATATTGACTGAAGTTCCGCCCGGTTTTGGTGACGGAAATTGAGCAGTTGAAAGGGAATTGGACGTGGGCTGGGCGAAATTATTGTAGTTAGAAAGCACATTAACGTGTATTGTATAGTACAAAGCATTCTACATGAATCCTTGATCCTGAACCTTCTCTTTCTCTATTCCGCTACCCAGTAGTAGCCTTTTTCTTCTGTACTCGTACTGCCTTCTTTTCCTTGTCTTTCTTTCTGTCTTTTGGTTTCATCTTGATGAATCCTCTGAGTAGTGTATGGTATTCATTGAGAAATTTATTGCCATCCTTGGTTGTTACCTAACAAATGGCGAGCGAGTATTAACGTAACGTCGTATGATCAATTAGAAGCTGACTTTGTAATAAACATACTACTGTAGAGAGCTTGGTCTTTCCGCAGACGGCTCTGAAAAGACAAGGATATTCCATATCTGATGATACATCTTTAGCCTCTGATGAAGACTCGGTTGTCTCTTTTTGTTGTTTAGCAATTAGTTTTCTTTCGCCGTAAGTGTCTATATCAATATAGCGGTGAGAATGCGTAATTTAATAAGCCCATGGAGAAATCGGAAAAAATGACTGCATACATCGTTTCATGGACAACAAGACCTTTCTTCCGATTGGTTCGGCCGCTTTGAAAACTTCAGAGAGCCGTATGAGAAACTAAAATTTCAAGGCATGAGTGTGTGAGGCGGTGATAGATTCCTGATCTAGTGTAGTAAATACCGTATCATTATCTAGGACAGTCATCGTGGTTAATGAATGCAATGTGAACCAAAAAATCAAACTAAAATTAATTCATGCTGCGATCATTTCCATAATAGTAAATAAGGGGTGGCGGGTGAAGTTATAAACAATAACTCTCTGATGCCTAATACCTTTAAAATGTGACAAACCTTCTGTTACTAAATATTCTCATGCCGTTCTTTCTAACACATCTTGCAAGACATACAACTTATTAGTTTTAGCGCATCTTGCAATAAAGTCGCACTCAAGCAATATTTAGAATACTCGAATGATTTTTAAGGCATTTTCAGGAACATTGGATAATCTTGTTGCACGTCAAAAAATTGGGGGGTTGTTGCGGCTAATACTAAGCTTAATCACTATACCGATAAAATTTCGTTTACCCGAATCAGTCCTATTAGATTGTGTTATACCGACAAAAATGGCCGTATCGGTATAAAGAGGGTTGACTGTATATAGCATTGAAAACTCGTGATTATAATTATTAATGATAGAAATAACCATAATACTACTAACACAGTTGTATCATATAGACGCGTCAGCGTCTAATTTTGCAATTGTGACAGACACTGTGGTGTTCAGTAATTAATCACTCTCTTCACCTTGTCTATATTGCAACGCGCTCTCGATATTTGTTACGTGTTTCACATACTGATAATAGTACACAATAGAGTAAGTCAGAGAACGCTTTAAACAACTTCTTCGAACGATGGACAGTAAAGCTCGTTGTACTGTCACTATGATCAGAATTCGCAACAGCGAACAACGATAGTATGCGTATGCCATATAAATTATATAATATTAGTGACATTTATTATTATTTTCTACACTTTGTTTCATACATGGAATACCATAGCTCAACTTGTGACTTTGTCGTCCTTACTATCAATACTATTTATCTCTGACTACACAGTGAATCTTGCAGTAAGCTCTCGATACAATAAATCTGTTCTATTGTAAACAAATATACTGTTGTCAGCGCGAGGCGGCTGCGCTCTCTCACCACCCTGTAGTGTCGATGCTTAGCGATGAGGCCACTGACCTAGTCAACTTTATTATACTACTTAAGTATTCTATCTCATTATCATAACTAATTATTTCTTTGGGGAACAATTTCTTTCTTGCCAGGTCTTTCATGATTTGTGTTTCGTAGTACACTTGTTCGCAGACTTACATGTCTCGAATATATCTTAGATATCCGTAATAATTATAAAATATATAACAACTAAATAAGAATTACAACACTTCAAAACTAATCGCTACTCTTAACGGCCTATTAATTTCGCTAATATATATTTAGGGAATTAATAACGCTGTTTGACGAAGACGAATAATATATCACCAAAGGTCAAGTTCAACAGATGTTCCTGGTAAGACGTAGCAGACGAAGAAATGCCGCTCATATATATAATATCTAATACCCGTTATATATTATATCGAAGATATTATCTCGTTAATGAAGGTTAGTTTCAGCCTCAACATTAATATTTTTCTTTCCACTGTAATGCTCCGATTGGATTTTCCTCAAGAATGTCCGCATTGAGCTTCGTGTCTCTATCACTCTATGGCTCCAATACTCTGTTAAAATTTTGGCATAGGTTCCCCCTCGTTAATGAAATAATATTTAACTTGAACAAAATAACGAATAACGATGGATTAACAATAACTTTTACGAGCATCAACCTTCTAACGAGTATATCAAACTCTCGGTGTTATATCGTCTTTATTATTACGAACGCCTTTTTTGTATTAAACATAAGGTATTATAATCGCAATCTTTCTAAACTGAACACTTCTCATGCGTCGCCAAGATGTTACGACAAAGCATCGATAAACAAATACTCTGCTACTAATCGCGAAGAACTTATACGAATACTTATCATGCCCTGCTTATTAATCGCCATGATTTTCCAATAATCAATAACGGATATTAATTTTTATTATTACAAGAGATGAATTCACCCCAGGGAAGTAGTTCTTCAGTAGTAACTAACTTACCTTTTCCGCCTGGGGGAAAGGTCGTTTATATAATGAGTTTTATATCGCCATTCGAATTCATCACTCTAGTACTCAATTTCCCTCCCAGACGTCTGCTCGCGAACTTGATTTTTGGCAGTTTTTTCTGGTTTGTAAAAGTAATCTTCGCTGTCTCAAACCCAATTTTTAAACCATACTATTCGTGATCAAGTTGGTGTTCGAAATCCAAGTTATACAAGAGTACCACAGAATACATGAGTATCCAAAATGGACAGAGTTGCCTAAGAACCTTAAAAGAGTTTGCTTTGGGCCAGGACCCTGGAAGGATGTAAAACACTTTATTTGCTTGGCATACCTGGGGAGTGGTGCTGAAGGCTTGGCTTGCTTAGCAACCACTGAGTATGGCTCAGCATGTGTGATAAAGCTGTCAAAAGCAATCAGACCAAGGGAATGTCTACCAGCCAACCTCTCCAACAAATTGAAGAAGAGAAATGCAAGAAAAAGCTTGGTTGCTTTCAGAATGAGGCTGATTGTTGGAAGTATTTCTGGATCATTGATGCTACTACACAGATGGTGAGTGGACAGCCAGCACTCATCTACATCATGCCATACCGTGGATGTGCAACAAGGAAAGCTAGCTGCCAGTCAGGAATTCAGGGAGGTTGCAGTAAATGCCCTTAAATCCATGGCCTCAAAAGGCTACAAACATAATGATCTTTCCCCCCCACCACATTGCATTTTACAAAAATGCCCATGAATACCTAGTTGCTGTATTCATTGACCTATCCTCTATAAGTCCTGTTCCAAAGGATGACCAAAATGCAATTGAGGTGATAATGAAAAACCTTCATTTGTAGTAGTAATAATTTTTTCTTGAGCACAACATTTTTATCCCAAGTGTAAATAATTGCAATAGGTTTAGATTTTCAATCAGTTGCAATAAAACATACAAATAGCATATCCATATCTTCTTTGTTCGTGATAATAGAATAACACTTTCCAATTTGTGCTATGATGAGTTCAGTTGAGTGGATCCTATGCAACCTTGTTAATAGAAACAAAAACACCAAGCACTTGTGGTCAGTGCTTATGAAAAAGTTTGTTATCAGGATTTGGTGACACTGATGTTCACTTGTCTGGTTTTGTTTGCAGTCTACCCCATAGCAATCTTGGTCAGTTGTTACGGCGAAAAGCATTGATTTAGTAATAACAGCATTTCGAAAATCCGCAACGGCGCTACACTGCATTAGGAAACAAAATGTTGCGTTTTTTCCGCGACAGCACAAAACGCTATAATTAATCTATATTTAATTGTTCTTCTAAAAATAGTTAAAAGTGCATTGCGCTTTTTCTGCGACGCTCGAAGAATATAAGCAGCTCATATTCCATCGCCAAATCTTCATGTTGAAATGTTATGAAAATTAATGTTGTCATGTTACGAATAAAAATAAAATATTACTGATCTTAGTAGTATTCTCGCACAATCCTTTATTATAAATATACAAATTTTATTTTTTATCGTCGTATGGAATACCACCTATTGCGTCTCGAAAGGGAGAGTAAACTATAAACTTGGAGATTTGCCCAAACCGAGAAACTGCAGGTATGGTTATGTGTTGATATTAGTTGAAGTCAATTTACAATATTAACATTGTCCATTGTTTTATGATTTAGCGACTCAATAAACTTGTAATCACGGTTTATTAAACGGTTTACATTAAATAGGATATGTTGAGTTGAAATAAAATTTGTGGCAATTGATTTCAAACACCAAAACTTGAAGGTTACCATTAGCCGTCTTTGGTGGGTAGAGTGCAAGAAAATAATTATTATTTATTATATAGTAAAATATTGAGAATGAACTATCTAAAGTTTATGGAACCGTAACTGGTAATGAGTTTGATACTACTTGTTCTATTCGCTTTGTATTCACAAATACCTCTGGATCAGTCATAAATGCAATGACTCAGCACGACATATGCTTTTTATGGGCAGTCAAGACAAAGGAATTTTGTAACAGTAATTGTTCGTGAAGTTCATTGTCCTTTGGTGATATATTGAGTCTGTTTAATGACAGACTTGTTTGCACAACCGCGCTCATGGGTACGCAAAATGCTACCTTGACACTTGGTGCAGGCCTGTACCAAATTTCATAACTCTTGCTCCCCAGTGCTAAATCACAGATAATAGTTGGTATACAAGCACGGGAATACAAAATCCTTTTTGGTAAGATAAAATTTTACTTAAAAATCATGTTCAGATGTGTCACTACAACGATTAGTATATATTCTCGTCTGATCACAAATCCTACATACATCGTATTCAAGTGGATTACATTTGGAATTAAAATCACTTTTACCACAACAGCTCCATGTTTTCTTATCCAGCAATTCACTAATCGCAGCTCCAACTAGTCCAACTGCTCCTCCAACTACAGCGCCCGGGACATTACCGACAACGGCACCGACCGCGGTATACAATCCAAATGTAGCAAGTCCAGCCCCCCCATTCACATACCTTCCACTATGTTCCACTTGTTCACTTTTGCGCATGAGATCACCATGACAGTTAGGACTGGCTACTCTTGGATCAATTACGAGGCTGCATTTGGTGCATTTTTCCTTTTTAAAGTGTATTTGAATCGGCGAATGACGATTGATGATATTGAGGACTTCAATCTTAGCTTGTTCTTTCGTAAGCATACCAGGCAAGTTTCTGAAACCTTCTTTAATACTAGCAGTATTTTCTTCGATATTGGTAATGAGGCATCCAAAGTGATTCACCTCAATATTATCCTTACGATGCATAATTTTGGCGGCTTCTTTCGGTCCATGGGTCTGGTCGTCGAGGAGAATAAGGCCTTTAAACACAATTAAAACACAGTTCCAAAGATCATCCACGTATCCGTTGTTATAATCGAAAAATTGATGGATGAATTTCGCCTGGCGTTGTAATGAATTTGTTGCTTTTGAATCCGGCCTACAGAACCACAGGATCGAGTTAATCTCATAGACACTGTTTGTGGATCTTCTTTCAAATTTCCTCATAATTTCCAGGAAAGTCTGTTTGTCCGTGATGCCCTTTGTATCGTTAAATCCAGGAGTATCGACGTAGATAAATTCGTTGTTTTCATAAAATTCTACTGTCGCTGTTCCGCTATTAGCGCTATTTTCAGACACGGCTTCGAAACCAAACAGTATTTTGCCAAATAAACTCTTTCCACAACCTGTATCTCCGAGGGCAAGGATTGTTTTCTTTTTCTTCACCATTTCTATGAAATAGAAATAAACGAGAAACCGTGAACGTGTTATTTCTAATGAACATGTTTTCAACACCTACAAAGTCCGAGGATGGGAGAGAGTAGCGATACCTCTATATGCCAAGTGTGAAGATGTTCCTACATTTCGTTGTGCAAGATGACCCGATATAGTCAAAACCGTTCTCTGGCTCGTAGCACAGTAATATTTCCGTATTTGTCCGCTCAGTTAATTAATTAATAATAACTAGTGTGTAACCCATCACTTCGTTGATGGTGTAGTAATCTATAAGTATAAATGTAAAGTATAAAATAACAAAAAAAAAAAAGGTAGTTTAGTAGAGTATAATAATAATAGAAATCTAAAGAAAGGTGTATAAGCTATAATAAAGGGCAATAAAAAGATATTGACAATTATAAATTATACAATACACCTGAGATTTCTGAGAATAACCTGTAGAAAAGATGAAAGCATTAATAATGGATAAATAAAACACAGAAAAGAGAAAAAACTAAAAGAGAAGGTTATAATCGATTAGAATGGCTAGAAAAAAAGAAAACAAAGTTAATAAATAAAGGAAAAGTGAGTAATAAGAAAGTAAAAAAAAAGTATTATGACAGTAATACTTCTGGGTATACAATACTTTGAGTATATCCAGCATTTGCATGTTGTCCTGTTGTTAGTATCTTAAGA